TAAAAAAAAAAAAGTTAAAAAGTCACTATCCTATTTAAATCACATCATCTTATTTAAGTCATATCATCTCTCTACAAAATCATTTTAAACTCAACTCATATTTCATAAAAAGCAAAAAGGTGTACTTATTTAGAACATTCCAAACAACCCTTTAAAATATACTGATAGGTCTTAATTTTTTTTAAAATAAAATGTATATAGCCCTGTTTGGATGTCAATTTGGACTAAAATAATTATATAAGACAAAATATGCTATTTTAATTAAATATGACAAAATTTTACATTCAATCTATAATCATTTTATTTTTTTTCTTATAAAAATTAAAAAATTCATCTCAAACGAGACTTTTTAATTCCAAACTAAAATAATCAAAAAATTCAAAACTCAAAAACTCAATTCACACCTCAAACAAATCCTATGTCTAGTCTCTTCCAGATCCGCTCACATAAATTTGACCGTTGTTCACAAAAATAACCAAGAAGTTTGTGTTCCACCCCCAAATTCTAGGACGCTTAGCTGTTATCAATTTATTTGTTTTTTATTTGAAGTTGGAGGTTACAAATGGGTAGGTATGAACGGATTTAAATGGGTAAGGGATAAATTGTGTTTGATTTTAATTTTTTGCATTTAATTATTTGAAAATTTATTTATTTATTTATTTTGTTTTTAATGAATATTTTTAAAATTTTAAGTGTTTTTTTACTTTTTTTTATGCATTTTACTTAGATGTATTTAAAAAGTAAAATATTTTAAAAAATCAATAAATACACAAGAATATAAAAAATATATTAAATTTTTTGTATTTTTTTATATTTTTAGTATTTAGTGAATTTTTTATAGATTTTTTTCACAAATATTATACTTTTTAAGTATATTTATGTTAAGTGTATCTAAAAATTAAAAAAATCACTTCAAATATTAAAAAAAATCAATAAAAATAAAAAAATAAATAATTTAATTTTCTAAAAAGTGAATTTAGAATTCACAAACCAAAAAAACTGAAACTATTGGTCAGATGCGGGTCATACTATACCCGACCTGCCCATACCCCCACCTCTTTTTTTGTTTTTGTTTTTTTAAAGCATGCCTTTCGCTGCGCAAGAAACAGTGTTTATCAAATATAATCAATGTGTTTAGTTTGAGTTTTTTGGATTAAATTTTTTGAAAATTAAATTTTTTAATTTTCGTATTTTTTATTTTTAGTGAATATTTTTAAAATTTTAAGCATTTTTTTTTTACTTTTTAGACATACCTAACATACATATACCTAAAAAATAAAAAATTTGAGAAAAAATATTTTAAAAAATTAATAAATACATAAAAATATAAAAAATGTACTGAATTCTCATATTTTTTTATATTTTTGGTATTTAGTGAATTTTTAAAAGGTTTCTTTTATAAATTTTTTACTTTTTAGGTATATTTATGTTAGGTATGTCTAAAAAGTAAAAAAAAAAAATTGCTTAAAATATTAAAAAAATTCAATAAAAACAAAAAAAAACATGAAAAATAAGAAAATAAAATTTTCTGAAAAGAATTTTTGAAAAACTCTAACCAAACATGCTATAGGATCATCACCTTATTCAGAAAATTTTAAGAACCATTATTGCATCTTCTATTTAAATTTCAAGTTTTATGTTTCGTATCATATAACTGAAAATGAAACTATTCTTCCATAAACACTGTTTTTCATTATATTTCAAAAAAAGCATAAAACTTGTTTGGTGAATTATTTGAAGAAAAAAAAAATACTTTTTTAAAAATATTAAAAGTTGATTTCAAATGTTCAGAAACTATTTTTAGATGAATTATTCTTTGAATTAAAAAAGAAACAGCAGCAACCATGAGGTCAATGTTCAAATCTATTAACGTCGTGTTTGTTTGGAGGATTGGGGTAGATATTTAAAAAGAGAAAGGAAAAGGTACGTGAAATTATATAAAATATACGTATATTTTATTCACATTTCAACTACCTTTTTTTCATTTTTCTTTCAAAATCTTTCCTCAAATTCCCAAACCAAGCAAAGCATAAATGAACCAACTAAAAATCATACTACCTAAATTTATAAAAGACAAATTACACGGATCTCCCTTGAATGTTGCAATAATTACACTTGTTCCCATGAGCACGAGAAAGTTACACCACCCTCCCGTGAGTACAAGAAAATTACAGATACATGCACTGGGTAAGGTTTTCTAAAAGGGTTTCGTTGTGTCAAAATGGGGTGGATGGGTATCATATGAGTTATGACGTTTGTAGTTTTTTATTATGATTGACTGTGGTATTAATAGTTAGGACTCATTGTAATTAGCTATGATCTATTATGATTATTATTTTGATTATAATCAAGTTTTTTTTTTATTATTATTAGTCATATACGCACAAATAGCGCATCTAAATCAATTCAATCTCTACTGAACAATAATTTAGTGTAGAGGTTCTTTTGTTTAGTTTTCATTGTTTGGTAAAAATTTTTGAAAAAAAAATTAAAATAGTCTAGTGAAAATGTAATATTGAAGAAAAAATACTCATCATTTTTATGGTTTTATATTTTTTGAGGGCGAAAATAAATTTTAAAAATTGAAAATTATTTTTTTGGTAATTATTTTTGTCAACCTAAGTTAGATTTTTTCAAAAAAAAATTCAAAAAACTAATTCTGAAATCAAAATAAAAAAAAAATTACATGAAAAATGGCTCAGTATTGCCTTCTTTATAAAGGAAATTAAGGGCTGGTTTGTCAAGTTTCAAAAAAGTCAAAAAGTCACTATCCTATTTAAGTCACATCACCTCTCTAACATATCATTTCAAATCCAATCCAAATACAACCTATATTTCATAAAAAGTCAAAAAATACACTTATTTAGATCATTCCAAACAATCCCTAAATGAATCAAAAATCAAGGGCACCAGTCACATCATGGTCAAACAAATAGAATATTCACGGGAAAAATTATTAATCAGTCTTGGAACGTCACGTGGTTATATTCCACATCAATCACAATTTATTATAATTTTTATGTTTCTCAATCACTCAATACAAGTTTGTGAGTCTCACCTCCTCCATCAATCACAACACTATTAGAACATCACATAGCAGTGTCCCAAGACCAATCAATAATTTCTCTATTCACCAAATTCTAATGAAAGGGGCAATGTATAATGTGAAAATTAATTCTGGGGAGAGCTGTGTAATTTTCTCATGCTTATGGGGCCAAATGTAACTATTGCAACATCCAAGTGAGGTTCGTGTAATTTATCCATCAATGCTGCTGCATAGCTCGAATTTGAGTTTGGCCTGAATGACTTGAAATTTATCTTGCCTATCATCCGGCTAGTCATCCTACTGGTCGTCCAGCAAAAAAGCTAACAGTTACAGTCAATAAGATGATAACTGCGGTAAACAAGTGTTTCACCCAATCGTCTAAGTGGCCGTCCAACCGATCCTCTAGTGAATATCAATTCGGACCATTCAAACCCCACCTTTTCGAGTTAGAAGGCTGTTTTCTTTACCCATTTATAAAATATAATGTATGGAAAGAACGGTACATCTTATATCTGCTTGTCTGTGCATCAAGCTGTTGGATGTTTCACGGATATATTATTTTATTTTAATTGGTTGTCCAATGGGTATGGCTACTTAACCTACTTTCATTTAACAACAGATAATAACCCAATTACAACTCATTTACATGAACAGAACGATCCAAACCCATTTATTATGGCCGGGTTTGGACGGATCAATGGGTTTGGACTTAAATTACAACTTCCATTTGAAGTTAAAATCTTGTCCTGATCTCTCCTTATGTCTGTTCAAAAAAAAAAAAAGATCTTCCCTTATGAATTCCACATCTCAAACTCAAAAACAATAACAAAAACAAAAAATCATGGAGCATAGCCTCTCTTTTTTTCTGTTTCTTATTTTTTTGGGTGATGGTTTAAAATAAATTTTAACCGGACAATATAATTTTTATGCGATACTGCTGTGCTTGTTCAACTTGCTTGAATATTGAGAAAACCATCTCCTTATGGAAATGTAATTAGGCAACCCCAAGGTTGGGCTTGGTGATCAAGGCATGCGGTGATCTTAGATTTGAATCTTCTTAGGTGCAAAAAAATTTCTTCGGGCCGGTCAATTCATAAAAGGTTCTCCTCAATTTTAATTGGATCCCCATTAATGGAGGATAGAATTAGTCTCCTGAATTAATTAATTTTTAGGACCGGATACCAAATTATCAAAGGAAATTAAAAAGATAAATTACGCTTTGCCTCTTTTATGTTTGATCATTTTCTCACTTTGACTTTTAAAATTTATTTTTTTTCTCACTTTGACCCTTTATATTTCAGTTTTTCTCATCTTACTCCTAGAGCTAATTTTGTCAATATGTCATTTTCTGTCTAAATTTTAACAAAAATTAACTTTAAGAGTAAATTGAGAAAAACTTGAAATATAAAGAGTCAAAGTGAGAAAAAATAAACTTTAAGGGCTAAAGTGAAAAAGTGACCAAATATAAAGGGAGCAAAGTGTAATTTATCCAAATTTCAATATAGGAATGTCCAAGGAAGGATAACATTATATGGACCTTATAATTCCAAGAATTTAGGACTAGTTGCAACTAGTTTTTATTTTTAATTTTTTTGGTCATTAATTTACAACAATGCTAGGTGGTCGGAAAATTCATGACTCGAAACACTCAAAACGACGTCGTTTTGAGTATAAAACAACGTCGTTTTGACACATTTGAACCATTCGAACCACACAAATTCGGCCCACCAAGCATTTTTCATCAATTTAATAGTTGCAACTAGTTTGACAAATCCGAATTAGTGTAAGAAACCGTCGTTGGAGAACAAAAAAATGACTAGAATATAAAAAATAATTCACTAAAGACAAAAACTGAAAAAAAACAAAAAAAATTAAAAACTAAACCAAACCACCTAGGATTTCAGCATATGGTTCTGTATACACATCCTGTCGATTAGATCATGAAAACATATAATTTCACAAGAGTTGGAATGGAGTTGTATTGCCTCAAGAATCTTGATATATGATCCTGTCTTCACATTCATTTCTACACAAGTAATAAAAAAATATAAACAAATAAACAAATAAAAAAAGAGAGAGAGAAGAAAATAAAGCACTTCTCAAGGAAGTTTATTGTGACAATTACTATATATATGTCCCTCAGTAGACATGCTATTGATGTTTTGTATTAGTACTACGAATTGTCACACCATGCAACAACTTGGTATACCCGAGGAAACTGAGTTTTCCATCAGAGCTTCTAACCCAATCCTTGAGCAAAGAGTGCGTTGCCTGCCCCAAATTCATTTCCTGCACAAGCAATGTTACGAAAGACTGAAAACTTATGTAACATATCAAACAAATATCCTTAAAACTTAGTTCTTGATATTGTTTTTTTGTCGCCTGATTGAGTTGTGTTGTAGTTTGTCCATCATCAGTTTTGGTGCTTGTTGTAGATGTTTTTAGTTGCTTCGTAGTTTTAGGTTTTGCTCCAATGTGTTTCTGTTTTCTATTGTGTTTTTACTGTTGGACAGCTTGACATATATTGTTGGGCCCATTTTCTAATAGCTCAAGTTTTTTGGACAGATGGTGAACATGGCATGAGAGTTTAGGTTGAGAGAGATCTTGGATTCTAAGTATCTTTGTTTGCATTATTTCTTCTCTTGTTTGCATTATTTCTGCTCTCTTTTGTATGTATGAATGTTTTTGCATTCTTTCTTCTTTGTATGTATGAATATTTGCATCTCCAGGTGCAAAACGAGGTTGCATGTGAGGAGGGTGTTTCTAAAACTCATTGCTTACCCAAAAAAAAATATATATATATATATATATATTTGCAAATCAGTGGTATTTGTATAAAATATTTACAAATTGATGAAAAAACTTATTTAATTACTAAAATTGATAAAGTTGCACTGAAATGCAATTTTGTCCCAAGAAAGGCAATGTTACACAAGATAGAGGTGTACCTGGGCTAATTCCTCGATTGAAATGACTCGGTTTCCTTCTTGTTCAAAATACTCGAATGCTGTACTTGCAATATTCTCCCAACCTTCAAGAGCCTCAAGCTGATACGTGCTAATTGCAGCGGCACAAAATTCCTCAAAATTCATCTTTTTATAAGTGAGCGGCTCCATCTTCAATTAAAATTTACAAGCATTAGCCTAAGGTCTAAGAAACAAATGAAATACCGTCGTCGTCGTACAAAAGGCAGATGAAAACACATAAATACGGGTTAAGCTAAAATGGCAATAGAATGGCAACCAATAACAAGTTTAATGTTCTATCTCATCTATATCAAAAATCTATGGTTTTATGAATTGAACAGAGAACAAGGGAAGATGAAAAACTAACAGTATACATGCCTCACTGATATGATATCGTTCAAATCTTTAGTATTATAGCATACAACCATCACAATCATTACGCACAATTCATACGGATCAGGATTCTCTGCAATGGTTTTGGTGTAGTAATCCAACGGCCTATATTTAAAGTAGAGGCAAAACTACATCATTTTAGGATGTATGGTTTTAATGTTATTTTACTTTAATTTTAACTTGAAGCGTTGGATTATGTACTTTGCTAGGGTGTCTTGCTGTGATAAAAAGTACGACAAGTTCATTGTAGGAAAACCATGGCAGAGAAACAGGTCTCAACTCATAACACTCAATAGAACCCTATACCCCAATCACCCATCTCATAGCATGCAGAAACTTTAATGACAAAAACAACTTTGACATCAAAAACAAAAGGAAAATTGTATTTTTGCCAGCAATATCCACGTCAATCTAATTTCAAATTTGTCACTGCAAGTACATAGACATGTCTCACCAGTTTTAAAATATCAGGAACCCTTGACTCTTTCATGGCATCAGTTACATTTTTGGTAAGGGCCTGCAAGTTTTTTTAGGTCAAATAAATGGACATAAAAAAGAAATCAAATACCAAGGAATACTGGCAGATACATTTATTATTAAAAAACTGTATCACACTGTGACTAGCTTCTACAAAATTTTAATTTAAAGAGATAACCAACTAACCATTTTGAAATTATTGAGTGAGACACACCCATCTTTTGGTTCCAATAGCTCAAATTGAGCCCTCAGGTAAATGAGTTCATCTTCTGTTAAAGCATTTGAGAGAGCCTGCAAAATAGAAAAATGAGCACAAAAATATACAAGCTAAACCAGACTGCATCGTGTATAAATTGTCACCAGAACAGCTGCCTTGATCAAAAGGTGGACCGCATCAAATACCATATACAGGCATGCATGTCAGTACATCAATCATGTGCAGCCTCTTTCATTAAGATGTATGCGAATCAACAAGGACATGATAGGTAAATTACCTTAAGCGCTGCACGCTTCAAAGGTGTGGCACGAACATATGACTTCACTAATTTGTAGATCAGAATATCTAACGGCACAGAGTAGTTTTCATCTCGCAACCACGGGTGAGCTGCAGTTATGGAAGAACTCATTACTTTCAATAGAATTGTAAGAAATTTCCAGATGCCACTATCAGCAACAATATGACTAAAATAAAAAATGCCCGAAATCAACCCGTGTTGTGTGTGCCACGCAAAGAACACATTGATTGTCCAATTCAAACTTACTTAGTGCTTGGGCAGCAGTCATTCTTTTCCTGTGATCCTTGTTCAAAAGCCGTTTGAGAAAATCTTTGGCTTCTGCTGATACCCCAGGCCAAGGTGAATCATCAAAATTTGGATCGGCCCTTAGGACAGAACGAAAAATTCCTGATTCAGTTCGTGCCCAGAAGGGTCTGCTCCCACATAACAGTATATATGTTATCACTCCAATGCTCCAAATATCTGCTTCAAGACTGTATGATCTATGGAGTACTTCTGGTGCAACATAGTATGCACTACCAACAATATCATTGAGACGTTGATCTGCACAAAGTACAAAAAGCAAGACAAGAATAGATAAGAGAAAACCGATGGAATATTTTAATTTAACAAAATATACATGCAACTGAAAGTCGAGCAAAGGACCTCCCATAAAAGTGTATAAACAGCCACAGGTGCTTGTTAGTACTCATGATAAATGGTGCAATCATAAGATGCTCTCATTTGGTTATATCAAAGGGGGGGGGGGGGGGGGCGGGGCGTGGAATTCCTGGTCTGGGAAAGGGTTAGGAGATCACCAACTCAAGCAGTTTTATGCAAATATAGAGGACTACTTACTTTCATATAAAAATTTAGTCGAAGAAAGCTAAATCTTACAGATAGTGTTGTTAAAAAGAGGGGAGTATTAAATATTGTTGTTAGCAACTATGTTAGATATAAATGAGATCTACAAGACTACAACAATATGTCCTTTTCTACTGAATTTGCTGTCCATTAACTCTGTTTTACATTGTAGTGCACTTTGAAATGACCTTTGTGGGTTTTGGTCATTATTTTTTCCCCATTTTTCATTTACTGATTTGTGCATGTTAATAAAACCATACTTAGTTTTAGTCCTATTTTGTTACTCCAGTTCCTTAGCTTTGAATTTGTAAATATTCCCATTTATTATCTACTCAAAATTTCTAAATCTGAAGTTTTAGAGAAAGAACAAAAACAGATGCTTACAAGAGAGCCAATTCTCACGAATATTATAACTTGGCCATCATTTTCTATTAGCAAAGTCCTTTGAATCTCAACTAAAACTAGCTCCAATCCAATCTAGGCTCCTAATTGCAACAACCTTAATGGTTGGCACGTTAGCCAACCATATTATGTACCACAATATCAATTTTTGGAACCACAATACATTTTTTAGTTGAAAATTTATTCTTTAATTAACAAAATGGGGTGTAAGTTCATCTTTAAGCACCAGAACAACTGCCCTTCTTAAATATTTCTCTTTACTAATCCTCTCTCCAGAGATTTCATTATACGTAGTCTAAGATGTGAATTGTGAAAAAAAAAATAGGCCAACTGATTCCCGTCATTCCACGTACTTTAAAATAAGAAAGCAAATAAACAAAACCTTCCCATAAGCACCCATTTTATTTAAGTGTTTGGCATGTCAATAAGGTCCTTACAAACTTTAAAGAAGTAAACGGTCCAAAAAACTTTAAAGGAGTAAAATAGGGATAGCATATCTTCAAGTGACCATAATAAACAATCTAGAAACTCATGGTCAGTATCATTAACAAATCAACAATGGCCATTTTGGAGATATACAAAGGCCCATTTTACATATAATGTCATTTAAACTGATGCCTTCATAGCGGAGTTGCAACTTTGAGAACAATATGGTATATGGTTGGAGAAGTTATGAAGCACGGATACTCCAAAAAAAGTGTCATACGAGTATCGGATATGAATACGCGTCTAATGTGGCGGGATACGTATTGGATACGACAAATAAGTATCTGATTTTTTATTTTTTTTCAATTTCGGATACAGGAGGGATACACGAAGGATATTTGAGGGATACAACAGGATGTGTGAGGGACACGCCAGTAAGTATCTAATTTTTTTTCTATTTTTTTATTTTTTATACTTTAATACGCCAAATAAGTTTATAAATTTTTTCTAATTTTTTTATTATTTTATATTTATATTTTTTATGAACATATCCCCGCCGTACCCCGTATCCTACTTTTTCATTTTGGCATATTGCCGTATCCGTATCTGTGCTTCCTAGACGGTATGATAGGAGCCTATTCCAGATAGAAAATAGTCATAGAGGACTATCTATGTGGTCCCAGGGGTCATCCGAATTGGTTGGTGGGTGTGCACCCAAACAACCAACGAGGGTTCGAATCACCTGATTAACATAGTGGTTGCGTAGGGATGGGGGCTCCCTAACTTCACCCAGGGTTTACCCTGCAGAGGTGGGTCCAAGGGCCCTGCCTTAGTGGGGTTCCTTGTCAACCCCAAAAAAATAAGACTATCTACATCAGGCAACATTCCTAAGAAAAATGGTGAAATCTACAACTTTTTCTGACCATACCAAAAATACATAAGAAAAATGGTGCATCTAAAGTGAAGGGATTTCAAAAGCAAAGACCAAAAAGAATGGTGAAATCAAAGCATCCAATTGTTTTTATAAATCCCTTGACAACGGAAACATGAAAGCCAAAAAAACAGCATAGAATAGTGCCAATACAAATAGATCAAATGGATTTAATACTTATTGAGCAGAAAGTAGTCACCTAGCCAAAAGGAAGTAGAAAAATAATTCAAGTTTGTTCAGCAATTACCTGGGCTGATAAAATCAGATAGACCAAAATCTATCAACTTCATAGGAGCATCCTCATCTCTAGTAGTAAAGAGAAAATTCTGTCAAGCAATTAGATCATATAAGCAATTGGTTAACAATGGAAAGAGAAATGAGCATATAAAACAAACAATTCTGCATGCCTATGGACAGTGTTTTGATTTCCCGAATGAACAATATTCCAAATGACAAGAATCAAGTAAATTACTGAAAAGCTCTGTTCATAATAAATACCTCTGGTTTTAGATCACGGTGTACGACACCTTGAAGATGACAGAAAGCAACCACACTTAATATCTGGATGACAATAGCCTTAGCATCTTTCTCCGTGTATCTTCCACCTCTGCAACAAAATAGTAAGGTTTATCTTTAAGAACCCATTGAATTTGATGGTAAAAAACTAAACACCAACATGAGTGGTAATTTCTATGTCTACCTCGATAAAATTCTGTCTAGTAATTCTCCACCTTCACATAATCTGTTAAGACAAAATCCTAAATGCTTTAGAACAAACTTTATGACATTGTTGAAAGTTCATGTATACAAATCCAGCAGCAAAACTGGCACAAGTGAGAATATTCTAACCCAAAGATTTTCAACAGAAGCAACTATCTTTATGCATTTAATTGATGAAGTGTATTAGGAACCAGAGTAACAGCCATATAAACGTTTGGAGATCTAGAGTACTTGAAGAAATTAATGTTACTTGAAATCTTCTATTCCTCCTAGTGTACAGTTCACCGGATATGATAAGGATAAGGATATGGGACATGTTGGATCCTCTATTGTTTTACATGCTTGAAGAAGAAGCTCACATTTGACAGTCAGAAAAAATTTAGCCTCTCAAATGGATGGGAGATAGAAATCCCATTTTGCCCCTAAATCAGATGTACTTTTAAGCATATTCCTAAGCAATAACAACATCTTATGTGGTAATATTATACATTATACAATATATTTAATTGTTCAAGATGTGTTCATGTACCTGTACCCAACTTCTGGATACAAATCCTAAGATTTAGGGTTTAAGGAGATTTGATGCTTGGACACACACCCACCTCCGATACTTGTATCCAAGTCCATGTAACATAGATTTGGACTAAGAGCGAATGATTTTGGAAGACATTTTATCACATTGATGAACTAAATAAGCAATTGAACAGAAGAGCAGTGTCTTAAGTAACTTCCAAGACTATTGAACCATGATTCTATATGCACGCCTTGAAATAATATTACAACAGGAAACACATACTCCATTACGATGTAGACGTTGTGGGCATCCTCAAAGGCATCGTAATATTTGATCAGATTCTTATGTCCAGACAAGGCTTTTAATATCATCACTTCCCTACGAACATCTTCAATTGATATTGCTGTTGTCATCTGCCAAATGACACTCGGTTAGTTACCTATTTTATGAATAATGAAATTCGTACCCGTCGACTGGGTCAAACAATTAATAGGTTTTATATAGTAGTGAAAAGTGTTGAAATTTGACTCACCTGTACAACATTGATACGGTGGCAGCCAAAAAAGAAACAAATGAGGGCAGAAATTTCAACATGTGATCCATAGTGAAGAAAGTACTAAGCTTACATTAAGACCATTAAAATACATCTGTGCAGCATTTATATCGGCTATCAATCAATTATTTTCTTTTAGTTAAAAATAATAGTTAGTTTACTCTATACCCCATCAAACAGCATCCAACTTTATCTACCAACAAGAGGATGAGATAACAAAACAAGTTTCAGATAACAAACTTGGCAAGCAAACCACAGACAGTGTACCAAATTTTTCTACACCTTTTTTTTTTTTGGATAAGTAATTTTTGATGTATTTTAACCCAACAACTTCATTTCAGATAAGGGATGCTCAGATTAATTGCTACTGCCAAATTCATCACTCGCCATCATCTCTACTTCAGATTTCCAGCTTCTAAAACTTAAATTCCACAAAGAAATGCTGTTGATCAAAATACCTTTTAATCAATCCTATCTTGATCTATCGATCAACCAGGCAATTATCTCAAGTACCACAAGATTAATCTTCCTTGAAAGGTAGAGAGTGCAAGTATGAGGTCATATATTACCTTGATATTCACTAGTTCTTAAGTTTGACCAATGTTAGGAAAAATCCCTGCCGATAAAGCAGGAACATAATTGAGGAGATATGGAAGTAATACATGGAAAGGCTCTTGCAAAAATGGCTAAAATATAGCTATTTTTGTATATTGGCAACTCATACAATTACTTACAAGATATAGACAAAATGTTATTGATCAAAGCAAACATGGCTGGAACAACGCCCCAGAATCAGAACATACATGGAAAGCTAAATATTCAAATTTGTCCGAGATATGCAATAAATCCAGAAACAGAAGATTTACTTATATAAACAATTAAAAACAGTCACACCAATGGAAGTTTCCAAGCATCTGATGCTCAATGTGACACATATTCATCGGTAAAAAGGAAATTGGCAATCATTCCTAACGCATCTCATCACTTTGCATATTTCAAACAGTAAAACTTTTGTCACTATAATTTGTCGTTCTCAGAATATTTCTCATCTTGTCCTAAATCTCAGAATAATAACCTTCTCTAAATGTGGTATGATGGAACAATTGTTCTCAAAACATTGTGAAGCTAGATGTGTAAACTATAATGAGAAGCTTCACCACAAATAATTTTCTGCCTAGCGCGTTCCAGGTCAACCTCGAATGCCTCCTTCCCTTGCATGTAGATATTCATCCACTAAAATGCAGTTTAAGCTCTAACTCCAACTTGGGTAGTAAAACAATTCTTCCAGGGCTGGCTTAAGCCTCCACGAGGCCTAAAGCAAAATTTTATTGCGAGACTTTTTATATTTCAAACTTAAATGTAAATAATATTTATTATTTTTAGTAAATTATCATGTAAAATTCATTTTAAAAAAAAAAGAAATTAAAAGTGCCAAAACTTACAAATAAATAAAACGTAAAAATTCAAAGTGAAGACTAAGAAAGGTTTGTAGAACCTATTTCAAATAGGTGGGGCCTCTTTTAAAGTAAGCTTTTTTAAAATTATATATTATAAGCTTTCTAAAATTTATGGAGCCCTTTTCAATGTGAACCTTTATTTATTATAAAAAATTAAAAATTTAAAAAAAAAATGTGCATATGACCAAGGATGGATCTAGGGGGAGGGGGACCGCACCCCCAAAAAATTGAAAAATATCATACCAAACCAGTGGATATTTTTACCAAAATTGTAAAACTTGTATTATACTTATGGGAGTATATCTTTTTTCTTTTTTCTTGTGTTGGTTTTGTGAAGGCCGTCGTCAAAGTGGACCTTATGAGAAACAATTGAGTTGTATTATGATTTATTATTATATATGAAAATTTTGGGGCTTTTTTGCAAATGAGGCCCCAAATTTCTGTTATTTATGAATTGAGATGTGGAAAATTTCTGTTCCATTGAGAATGGACTAGACTGTTCGCAAAGAAAAGGCTGGTCCAAAACTCCGAATTTGTACAAGATCAAGAGTATCTTTTAATTGCTATAATAAAAAAAGATAGCATGTTTGGCAGCCCAAAAAGTGCTTCCTAAACTACACAACTATGTAGCAACCTTGAATTTGGATTTGTTGAATCTGGGGTTCCAACTTCATGGTAAAAGTTGGAGAAATCCCATTCATATGTCCAAAATTCAAAGGTTTAGATTGTGCCAATTGAAAAATAATTGCCCACTATCTCCCTGATTTTTCTTGCGAGAAAATAAACTACTTCCTCCCTCTTTTTCATTCAGGCCTTCCATTATTAGACGGACAATTGAGATTTCTCCAACTTCACTGCTGATGTTGAAACTCTAAATCCAACAAAACCTGATAATTCACTTTCCCTCTGGTTAGTAACGCTCAAGTAACTCAAATTTAAATATAATCAACTACCACAATCAACGCCGCAACATGTCATATGATTTGTAACTAATTAGCATGCTTTCAACCAATTCATCATCCTGAAAGAGATACCTACCAGAGTATTGAACTATTTCAACTAACCTAATAGTCCAAATCCTTAAATACAAAAAGAACCTGTCATAAAGATCACAAATCATCAAATTTAGCTAAATTTTCAATCCCAACCTTTCTTGTTGGAACAAAATTTGAAATTCAATAAACCAATTGATTTCACATAATTACACTCAAAAGTAAACAATAACAACAACATACCACATTCATACCTTAGCTTTGGAAATTATCTTCACAGCCACAGGTTGATTCTTAAGCTCTCCCTTCTTACCCTTTGCACAACAAGTATGACCAAAATGCCCTCGCCCTACCTCCTTCCCCAATTCATACTTGGCGGCAAAGTTCTTCGGATAACCGAAGCTCTTATCGAGCACTTCACCATCTCCACCGTCGTCTTCCGGTATCGGCCCCTTCGCCGGCTTCGGCGGCGCCTGCCGCTTCAGAATCGCCGACATGATCGGCTTCGCCGGCGATGGCGGAGGGAAAGGCCACTTGAATATCCTCCGCGGAGTCATCGCCGGCGACGGTGCAACTCCGGCGGGGTAAGGACTTTGCCATGGGCTAGCCGAGAAGGAGTGAGCTGGAGTGTTCTTATTGGACTGGACGTCTACGGTTCCGTTACCGGAGGGAGTCGCCGCCGGAAGAGGCGGTTTTGCGCGGTGGTTGGGGGCGACGGAGACGGTGGTGTCGTCCTTGACGACGGAGGCGGAGACGTTCTTGCTGCAGCAATGCCCCATCGGCGGCGATGAATCTCCGATCAAGATCGATCGGTCAAAGTCTACACATTGGACGGTTGATGGTAGACTTTTATTACTACAACAAGAAAATATTACAACTTCGCCGGCTATATACCGTTAGTTATATAGACACAAATCATATAATATATAGAGAGAGAGAAGGGATGGGTGCTAATTTTGGAGAGAGAGAAGTTGAAAACAACGATTTCTAACAAAGTAAACCAATTTTTTAATGGATTAATTCTATTTTTAATGTCTATGTTTTTTTAATTATTAATTGTCTATTAATTTTTTGAAAAAAACAATTTTATTTCGCTTTCACTGATTTATATTTGGTTATTTTTTTATTTTAATTTTGTGTTTGATTAAGAAATTTGATAAAGGGATTTAGAAAAATAAACGAAAAGAAAAAAATATGTATGAAATTAAGTAAAATATAGATATATTTTATACATATTTTATTTACTTTTTTCCTTTTCTTTTCTTTTTCTGAATTACTCCTCAAATCATCCAACAAAAAATTTATTTTTTCTCTCTTGGACCCTTTATATTTCAAGTTTTTTTTTCTCCAAATTATCCCTAAACCTAATTTATATTCAAAATTAAACATAAAAATATCATGTTGACTATAACATAACATAGGAAATATATTATTATATTATGATTTAGATTTTTCAGATGTGTAAAATATATAAATATATATATACATATATATTTATATCCATATATATTTATATCGCTGGACTATTAATGTGTTATTTTCTATTTAATTTTGAATATAATAAGTTAGTTTTTAGAGTAAATTAGGAAAAATCTAAAATATGAAAGGCCAAAGTAAGAAAAAAAAATTAAGGTTAAAGTAAAAAAAATAAACTTTAAGAGCCAAATTGAAGAAATAATCAAACATAAAGAAAGTAAAGTGTAATTTATCCTTAATTTTACATAATAAACTTAACAATTTGAAGATGAAATTAAAAAAACAATAATTTATGAAATAAAAATGAAATTAAACTTTTTAAGAGTATAACGATTTTTGTAAACAAAATATATGCTTTGTGATTTTTCATTTCAATCAAAAATATTTATTATTTTAATTTATAATTTTAAAATATAAGTATTAATGGAATGTTCAGAATGGAGTTAAATATTTTGTTTTTTAAAAATAAATAAAAAAAGTTAAAAAATAAAAAATCATGTTTATTATCAACTAATCAGGTAAATGTCTTAATTAGGGATGCTCATGGAAGTTAGATAGAATAGACTCTTAGACACTACTCGTCCAAACTTAAGTGGATTAGAGAGAAAAAAAAATCAAATCCACATCATACTTGCTGTAAACCAAATTTAATTCTTATAAACTCACGCTTAAAATAAATTTCAACTACTTAATAATTTTTTTAGAAATTCAAACATTAATGTCTCATTATCATCTGTAACCTATAATTTTATTTTAAAATAATATATAATCCCAAACACTAGTCCATATACATGGGAGAGAACAAGGCTACATGGTCTATCTTGTGGGCAGAAGTTTTCACTTTGATTGTCTCTTCTCTTATTAAAAATATAAAAAGTGATAACTCCATCACAATTTTTTAATTAACTTGATGAGGACTTGAATTAGAAAATGAAAGTATACATAAGGGCATATTAATTGTTTGAACCTCGAGATTATTTCACTTGAAATCAAAACACTCCTTCGAATGAATCGATGTTGATCCTTCACTTAGTGGATGTACTTTTGTCATAGGAATTGAGGTTTAAAGATGATTAATTGCTTAACATTATCCTTCCCTTTATAGAAAACAATCTCCTAAACAATGCTTAATATTATCCTTCCCTTAATTCTTTGGGAATTGACTATTAATTTTTTTTTAATTCAATTTTTATTTTTAGCATATTATTTTATACTCTTGGAACAATTGTATTTATAAATTTGACATTATTCATTCAAAAGTCTTACTAACAACATTTGTCAAAGACTATGATAAGTATCATAAAATGTCAAAATATTTAGTATTCTAATACATTTTCTCACATATTTCAAACCACAGTCCTAAGGGTTGTTCTTTGCATTTTGCTTGATTAAGTTTAGATTTGATAGCTTATCTAAATATTTTAAAATTATATTAAAGATCTTTGTCGTGATGTATTTGCAATAGTTATGCAAAAGTTGGTATTTTAAATCATGTTAAAGATTCACCTTTAATTATAAATATGCTACTAATATACATTTTTTTTAATTTTTTTTTTTTTATAGTTTTTCTATTCACTTATAATTTGTAAGTTTCTAATACATTTTACACATTTCAATACTAACGGTAGCTCTGGACTAAGGGCTTTTTATGGCACTTTCCTTCATTAAAACTAGATTTGATAATTTATCTAAATATTTGAGGATCATATTAAAAATCTTTATTGTAATGTATTTGAAATACCCTTTGAAATATTATGAAAAAATAATTATATGAAATCATGTTAAGATTCGCTTCAAATTATAAAGATGCTAAGATTCGCTTCCAACTATAAAGATGCTACTAATATGCATTTTTTTTATGAATAATGTTTGGTGGCCCGAAAAATTCTGCCCCGAATGTCCCGAATGGCTGAAACGACAGCTATTCAATTTTTTTTTTTTTTCTTCTTCCTCAGTCTGATACGCTCACTAGGGAGGAGAGAAAGAGAAAGAGAAAAATTGGGAGAGGGAGAGGTCGTCACCGTCATCGTCGCCGATAGCCGATCGCCGCGCCATTGTTGGTGTTTAAACACACAAATTTTTATTTTTATTTTTTTATTTTTTATTTTTGAAGCTGTTACCCTTGGCCTTAAACACTGAATTTGGTTCATATGCATATGGGGTCATGCAGTTTGTGAAGAATGGGCAACATCATGGAGAACTCCAGACTCAGCAAGAGAACACCCTACATCAATATTCAAGTTAGTGGGGGGCCTGAAGTTCAGGAAAACTGCCATATGTCTACAAAGGAATGAAAGATGAAAAAATTTTAAATCAGTGGGACAGTGAAAAAATAATTACACTACAGATAAAAAAAGAAAAAAAAAAAAAAAATTAGGGAAATTTTTTTTGAGCCATTCGAGCCGCTGCCCATTCGGGCTCTGTAGCACCACTGTTTTTTTATATATAGTTATTCTATTCACTTGTAATAGGTAAGTTTATAATATTTTTATAAAACTCAACTTTAAATCTTTTAATTTTCATATCTATTAAAATGAAACTTAAGTTCAGAAAAGTAAAGAGGTAATGTGATATAAATAAGCCAATAAGTCAATAAATAGTTTATTTAGGCCTGGTTTGAGGTGTTCCAAAAAAGTCAAAAAATTACAAAAAAAAAAAACAAAAAAGTTACAAAAAAACAAAAAAGTTATCACTATTCACAAATTAAAAATATAAAAAAATTAATACAAATAATATTTTAATCAAACCAACTGTACACAGTTTTCGGGACTGAATTGACCCCTTTAGTACCGTGACAGGGAAATTTTGTTTTTTACATATGTAAAATCACTAAGTTGGACGTATATGTTGGGCCCGTGGGAGCCCACCACGAGTCCTTTTTTGATAATCCGAACCGTTCAATGTGTAGAACTCGTTCAGAACTATGTGCTTGTAAAAAATCACATTGATCGAATATCGTTAACTGCATGATCAAATCAAGTTTGTATAAAAAATGGACGGTGTTATAGTTAATAGTTGACAAAAAAAACTAACACGATCAGATAACTATCGATATCCAATCAATGTGATTTTTTATAAATATATAGTACTCGACGAGTTCTACACATTGAACGGTTCCGATTATCAAAAAGGGACTTGTAGTGGCCCCCACCGGCCGAACAACACCATCCAATTTAAGCCCAAAAAGGAGACAATCATTTCTTATCTCCTAACCAATCCATTACCCTGCACAACCTGTACGCCTACTCCACTAACTTCTCCTACACATTGTTATATAATTTTTTAATACACATTTTTTCATAAAAAGTCAAAAAGTTAACTCAAACATCTATATTTTTTTCCTCATATTTTTAGTCAAAAAAGACAAAAAGTATACTTATTTAAGAAACCCAAACAACCCTTTAAGACGTGCCCATGGCCAAGAATACCCATACTCCTCATTCCAACAATACCAGATAACAACCAAATTTATATGAACTTTTTAACTGTGTTTTACATTAAAATTTTTAAAATTATGTTATATTGTTTTTAGTAAAATAATTTACTTTTTAGATTTGCCTTTATGATGCCCTTCAAATGAGATTTATGTTGAATATGAAAATAAAAAATGGTAGGACCATGAAAGTTTATCCAAAAAATGAGATAAATGGTGTAAATTTAAAATTAGTGAGATTTGAGTTACAATTATAATGATTTTTGTTCATAAATGTACTATTTTGGAAATGTAGCATTGTTGCATGGAAATTTAAAGAAAAGAAAGGGGGATAGATCTACTTATCCTTACACTTCTAAATTGTTTTTTTTCGTTTTTATAAATTAAAAAAAAATGAGAAAGATCTATACATCAAGCACTTCCAAATTAAAATGGGGACAAATTTGCATTTGTGTGCACTTTTAAATAAATAAGAAATATAATAAAATTTTAAATTAAGAAACGGGACAAATATATCCATTTGTGCTCTTTTAATTACTTTTAAATAATAAAAAATGGGACATATTGTCAAATTAAAAAATGGAAGTACCACGTATACAATGATGAAAGCCCACAATGGTGCTAAGGAACGAGGACTATATTAGAACATATTCACATTCGTCCATCTCTTTGTATTTCTCTTTAAAATTTACACTACCTTTATCATTTTCTTCCCGTAACAAATTGAAAAGAGGGGCAAAATCATCCATAGCTATAACACAAACAAAAAAAACATGTCCATTTGACTTAAAAAACTAAATGAAACAAATTTGTCTATGGCGGTTTTTTGTTTTTAAACACAGCTGTTTAGCAATTCATAACAGAGATAACTATACCTTTGCAATCTTAATTTGAAAATTGCTTTTGAACTATTTTGCAAGACTATTATTATTTTGTCTTTGATTATTATGTGAATAAGAAAAATGTTGGAACAATCTTCTGTGTAAATAAAATAAATTGAAACAACTTCAAACAAAATAAATAAAAATTTACAGAATTTATTTTGTCGAACCAAATAAAATTACA